TGCTCTTAAGGAAAATATACAATTCTGTGAACAAACAAAATGAAGCTGTTTTAATCTCCACTCCAAGGGACTCAGTGAGAAAATAGGAGGCAAGATTCTTCATTCCGCTGTTTTCTTGTTACTTGTCTTTTGTTACAAGCCTAAGCGTTAGCGGAACTGAACGATCAGTGAAAACCAACAAGCAAAACGATTGTCTTGAATTTGGGTCAGGTACGTGCTCATGCCATGGTACAAAAAAAAAAGCAGTCCAAAAATAATATCACTGAAACCTCAGATGACGCCAACGTGGATATCTTATTTCATCCGGTGCACAGTTTTACTTCCTTGTAGCACGATGGCGGATGAACAAATGCTTTTCCGGCTAAACTGAAATGCCAATCAAACCAGGTTTACTGCGTTTCCTCCACTCCTTAGAACTAGGATGTGCACGACATCTTGGCGCGAAGTCGTGCCCTTGTAACTGTGATTTTCAGAGAGATAACTGATCTGCTTATTTGAGATAATTTGGCAATTATTTGAACTTATTTTAAGATAACTTGGCTGACAGGGTGAATCAGTGCTCTTCCTTTGGGAAAGATCGCTGCAGTGAAATATTTCTTAAAGGTTAGTGCGATGTTTTTTTTTTTTTACAACTAATGCTTGATTTACTAATTTGCTTCAATAACTCAACCTCGGCTCGTCTTTGTTTCGGTTGCGAACAGTATCTGTCTATTTTTCTCATCTTTTAGAATACAATCAATCACTCAGTCACATTAGTGACAGTCAGAAAACTACTCAATTCGTGTTTAATCAGCTGCAATCGACAGAACGTCACATGTGTTGAACTTTCCAATCGAAAAGGGTTGTTAAGTTCACAAACTTAGTTGTGTTTAAACACAGTTGATTGGTACAATTTTTCCCGAAGTATAACAGAAGGCGGAATATTTCGGAAGGGGATCAAATTTTACGGTGATCAGCGTTAGATAAGACGCCTTCAAGTTTAGGGGAATTTTTATTATAAGCGATTATAAGCGATTCGGTCTCAGATCAAGCAAAAAAAACGTACACTTCTGAATATTGAAATGGCATATCACGATTAGCTGTCCCAAGGAATTTAAGCGCGATGCATTTAATACTTTTCGTGCGACGCGGGTTTAAAAACTCAAAATTATACTATGAAGGTACGAGTCCGCAAGCGCGTTTCCCACCCAGAAATTTTTCATTGTTGAAAGCCAATTTCTTCTCCAATTTCACACCCAAGGAGCAACAAATTTAACCAGTAACTAAGTTTCACAAGCTCTTGTAATGCTTAGAGGCAATTCGTGTCCAAGTATGATGCCAGTCGTATGTTAATGAACAAGAATGTAAACAAGGACTTCAGCAAAGATCGCTCTATTGAGTATCCATCCTCTGCTAGAAGACGGGCACTCAAGGCTGTGCTTGAAGAGAAGTGACGATGAAGAGGAACATATGTAAAAACATATAATCTGTCGGTGTATAAATATGCCAAGTTATGGAAGACCAGCTTCTTAGTTTCCTCTTAAATGCATGGAGTCCATTATTTTGGCCATGCAGTACTCGGCCCTTGGCTCGTCTTTGACATTTTGTCTATTTTTCCCGTCGTTTACAATACAATTTAGTGGACCATCGAGTCATAAGACTATGATAAATCAATGTTTGACGTGACCTTTCGACGAGAAACATATCCATGACAATTCTGTTGCTTTGACAGGAGATGGAAATATCGTCTAACAATATTGTTTTGATCGGTCCGTAGATTTATTTCATTTTAATAAATCTGAAAATCAATAGTTAGAGAGGAAGTCGTGCATCATCCCTGTTGTATCCGGTTTTTCATGCGGGTTGTCTCTCGAAGTTCGAATTGGAAGAAGGAAAACCAGTAGAAAAACCGTACCCTAGAAGAAGATTATAATATTAGCAACAATTCAATCGACCGGCTAATCAGTCACTGGAACTGTCCAACCTGTCATTTGAAGACAATGCTTTAGTAAAACAAATTTGCATTTATGATTTCGTAAACCGCAAATATGTCTCACTTCTCTATCACGAAAATAAACATCACAACTACAGGAATTAATTGTAAAATCAAGATTAAAAACCTTTTCTAGCGATAACAGTGTACATGAGAAAAGAGTACGAGAAAAGATACGAGCGCGATCATGCAGGAAGAAGCTAACCTCTTTAACATCCAGTCAGCACTGAGCCTTAGTGGGATAAAGGGCCGAGAGAAAATGGGCTGGAAGCTTGATTTCGTTTGATTGGCTAGTGACAGTGACAGAGCTGGGGTTCATTCTGTAGAAAGTCAAAATTATTTCATTTCCCTAGCCTAAGATCTTTGAAAATCAGTTAGATCGGGATATGTATAGGTAATCATACGGTTTCGAGTTCAATTTGGAATTAATTTGCACGAGTGAGTTTTTCAAAAAGCTGAAATTGCACGAGCCGCTTCGGCGNAGTTTATCCGAGATCAACCAGTAATCTAATCTACAAAATACAAAAGGAGAACAGCGACCCCAAGTGAAACTTTGTTGATTTGGATTTTTTATACGCCAAATGTCATGGAGACTGAACTCATCTTGAATTTCTTCAATAGATTTTACGACGTGCCTCCGGGGAATTTGAATATCATTTGTATAGTCTACACCACCACTAAGACCCTATAGATGCTTACGCAATCTCCGACTTAAAAAAGAGAATGCTAAACTTGCTTTGGCCTCATAAAATAGTTAACTTGAGAATTCTGGTTTTAATTTATTGAGGAACTACATATTTGTATAGGTAATCATACGTTTTCGAGTTCAATTTGGAATTAATTTGCGCGAATGAGTTTTTCAAAAAGCTGAAATTGCACGAGCCGCTTCGGCGAGTGTAATTTCAGCTTTTTGAAAAACTCACAAGTGCAAATTAACTCCAAATTGAACGAGAAAAACCGTATGATTACCTATTAATAATATAAACATGAAAAAATTCGCGCGGAGGAAGTGCCGGAAGGTCTTTCTTGAAGCCATTTTTTCTCATCTGAGAAAACTTTTTTCAAAGTTTCAGCACAAAATTTTCGTCATCATTTTACGTGATATCATTTTCTTAGAAAAGTTCCTATCGTCTTTCAGTCAATCATAATCCAGAATTTCGACGTGTAATTTGCACTGGTGTTACACTTGAACTGCACTGCTCTTAGCCAATCAGAATCGAGTAATTTTTTTC